GACCTCCAAATATAAACACTGTAAAAATATACACTGCAATATGGTAAATATATATCAATACACAAACATTATATAATATCTTAATCAGAGGTAGAAATGTACACTGCAATATGGTAAGTATATACAATATATATATATATCAATACAATATATGTCAATACATAAAAAAGTTTTAAACAGAGGTAGAAACATACATGCATACAATAGTCAATATAATTTAACTTTGTATCAATATACAACAAGAATCGATACCAATATATTTGTCTAAAAACAGTAACTCACAATTATAAATCTATTATCCCATCATCCCTCTTTTTTTTTTTTTTCAAAATGGTCCCTGAGCTTATAAAATTCCTCCCCCAACCTCCCAACCCCTAAATGATGTCCCTAAACCCAGGGGCAAACTTTACTGGGAGAGGGGACGTTGTCCTCTAGAATTACTTCCAGCTGTCATGGGGGCAATGTTCTTTCTGGGGGATCCTGTGAAAGTAAAATGATGGTTAAATTTCAAGATCAATGTCTTTTAAAATTGCAAATAGTCTCTGAGTATTTTGTGGAGGTCTGGCCAGAATGTTGTACAAGATGTGCACCATTTCAGCTAACCAAGTTGGGATCGTCTTGTGCAGCTGGTACCCAAAACAGGTCTTGTAGTAGTGCTATCAGTATCATGACATCATATCAACCAGGTAGAGTTGTTGTTGTGGGGCCCCATCTTCTTCCTGGAAACTTCAAATGTCACTTCAGGAAAAAACCCTTGTTCATTGTGAAAACCTTAAACATTAATCATATAGACATACATATATATATTCAATGAAAGGCATGATAGATATATTCAATGAAAACTATGATAGATATGAAGAAAAGCAAAGATGTTTTCTAAACTCATATTTCTTTCTGTCCCATATCATGGCTCTTGACATGAGACAGAAACTCCAGAAACTCTGCGTTTTTCTCTTACTAACAGGCTTGGAATTGGAGAGGGACTGAGCCAGAGTCCAACTTCAAAACTAGCTCTATAAATTTAGAAATATATTTTAATATATTTTACTTTCACAACCCATTCAGTTTTCTTGATATTTCCTATTGGGCAGGTATTTTTCCATCTGTCAGTATCCAAATATCCAGGGTCCCTTGAATTTTTCAAAGATGAGTGTTTTCCTGTGGAGATAAGAACAGAACCCTGCCCCCATTCTATATGTTTTTCTTACCACCTACCTGTATGAATATCATCATTGTGGATGAGTTGTCATTTCTCCTTTCCAAGAGGTTTCTCCTCTTCAAATTGAAACTTTATTAATTTTGATGGTATCCACAATTTTTCTTCTCCTGTGGAAACAAAAGCAAAACCCCTTCCCCAACATAGCACATCTCCTGGCTTCCATTGAGAGGTCAGCACATCTTTGAAATAAATCGGTTGATTTAGTTCAGCAGACTTTTCCATTATCCAATGTCTTTCTGCTGCTGTCGTTCCTTTCTCATTAGCGTTAAGAAATTCAAGGTTAAACAACAATTTTGGGACCAAACTAGCCAGGTGGCTGGATGAACAAGCAGCCCTTCCCCAGCAACACAAAGTAAGCATAGAAAATCCTTTCCCAGCACATCAACTCCTAGCCAGCTTCATATTTTATGTGGAAATGTGAATTCTGTCCTTTAGAAGAAGACTCAGCCAAAATGTTCACTTCCACTATTCTTAGTCTGTGTCAAATTTAAGTCTCATTCAGTACAAGGACAAGTGAAATAAATTATAGGTTTTGAAGAAAAAAGTAGAAGTAAAATTATTTCCATTTGTGAGTATCATGATTTTCTAAATCTCAAATATAAAAAAGTCACACTGACACATACTCACACACAAACACACACATGCATGCATGCATGCACACACACTCCTACCAATGAAAAAAGAAATTCAATCAAATTACAAGATAAAAATATAAAGATCAGTAGCAACTTTATATTATAATGAACATTCTGAGAAAGAAATCACATTTTTAAGAGTTAGCTGATATCAAACATTTTAGAAGTCATCTGTATTCTAGTCACTTATTATAGCCATTGACCTTTATAGAAGGTCCTGTGCTTTAACATTCCTCTGTGTTGAGTAGCATCAGCAGCTAGGTAAATGTTCATCAGTGTGTGAACATTTATCAGATGGACTTTTTTGCTCCCTGTTCAGTACATAGACTCTACAAATCATTACCATAAGGGTAATTCTTAAAATAATCTATTTTGAGATAACCTTTGTGGTATTTTTGCTTCTGGGAAATATTAACCAAAGTTGGCGATTCATTGATTTTCTATTTGATAGGTAGTATCTAGTCAAAGATGATTAATTATTAATCTCAAAGGTCTTTGAAAAAGAAAGCAGCCTGGGTTGGTTTACAACAGGTTCAGACATGAGATTGGAGAAGATCCTGGGGAATAAATCTGTGAATGTTGAAAACCACAACATCACTATGATCTTGATGAAGAAAAGACCTGAAAGAAACTGGGACTGATCCTCCAAGAACCCGACACTGACTCTTTCCATAAAATGTTTCATTGTGAGATTTGTAAACTCTAACAGATCTTTATGACGGGCAGATTTGTGATAGTCCAGAACACCATGCTGATTGTGCAGCTATGACACCTCTTCCTAGAAGTTTGATTTATTTGATGTGTCATGTGATCTCTTTTAAATCCTACTCTGGGATGTTAATCAACCTGACATTTAGTTTCCAGAGATTATGAGTTACAGCAACTTTATTTCTAACAAATACTTATTGAGATGGTGCATAAGGTGAACATTTTCATGTCTTCTTGAACATAATGTATTCTGGGAAGAAGGGTGACCTGCCCCGCTGAAAAAGGTACTGAGCCATGTGGCTAACATAGATAAGAATAATGGGTTAATATACATTACAAGAGTTAATAAATGTCTTGAAAAACAAAAAAAAAGAGTTAATAAGAAGCCTGAGCTAATGGGCCAATCAGTTTTATAACATAGGTAGATCTCTGTGTGATTTCTTTGGGATTTACAGGTTGTAGGAACTGGGCAGGACAGAAACCCCAGCAAGCAGGTCCTCATGTTACAAACAATATTGAATTACAGTACATAAAATCCATAGGTACATAGTATATTCTATTGCATTTTATTTTTCAAAATCCTGTTCTTAACCCATTAGACTGATTTGATCCTCTGAAATCAAATTTTTCTTTGATAATTATTTTGATTATTAGGTTATTCGGTTAAAAAAATGAATACTCCAAGACAGTGTGCTTGACTTCTCAATAAAGAATGGTTCATTCTAGTAAATGTGCCCAGACTATTCTTATGGTCAAAGTGCATTTTGGTAAGTCATCAAAACTGTTAACTAAAAGTGTTTCTCACTTCAATGAAAATAAGAGACAGATTATTCTCAAGTGAAACACAAATTTCTATGGCCTAATTTGACCCAAATAACAAGCCCCAATTTAAAAAGGTTTTCATTTTATAGGTACATGTTTTAGGGAGTCCACGAAAGACCAAAGTACAGCCACTACTAAAGTCGAACATGGTGAACCAAAGGCTTTTTGGGGTTACATATAGAAATATGGATGAGAGGTTACTTATAGAAGCATAAATGACTTGAAGACAGATGTATCATTGAAATGTACCCTACTATGGGTCACAGCTCATAAACCTGGAACCTGGAGCACACTGTATGGTCTGTGAGCAGCTTAACAGATTGAAAAGTACCCTTTCCAAGTGACTCAGTTGATTAAATCACTTCTAAGCAGCTGCCCTTGTTTCTGTTTCTTCCAGGCAACTGGTCTCATCTCATTATCTTCTTGGCAACTTGTATCATTTGAGAGTCTTCTTTCCAGCTTGGCTTCTCAGAGTGACTCTTAGCAGTCTTTATTGTTTACTTTTGGGAGGAGGGCTAATTGAGTAAATCTGGTCAGTTTCAGGAATTCCTAAAGACAGGTTTATCTTCTGTGTTAAGGAGATTCCTAGATGATTACAATGTTTAATTCTCAGAGAAAACTTCCACACAACATTATAGAACAAAGGAAGTCATAAATCAAGACATTTTCAGATACATTGATGGGTGTATCATATGAGTAGATACAGTAAAATGGGAAAGCTCTGCAATGGGTCTCAGAGATATCTGACAAAATTCCGAAATTTGAGTTGTTGGAAGATTTAATTCATCTGAAAGATGTTACCTGAAAATTTCAAGGATGCTGTGGGATAATGCTCTTGTTCCATCTAAAAATTTGTCACTCATATTGGTTTAATAAAACACTGATTGGCCAGTAGCCATATAGAAAGTATAGGTGTGGCAACAAGACTAGGAGAATTCTGGGTAGAGGAAAGGCAGAGACACAGTCATCAGCCAGATATAGGGGAAGCAAGATGAGAATGACTTACTGAGAAAAGGTAACAAAATGTAGGGCTAAACATAGACAAGAATTATGTTGTAGGAATTAATTAATAAATAGGTTGAACTCATAGACCAAGCAGTTTATAATTACTATGAGTCTCTGTCATTTGGGACTGAGTGACTACAGGACTGGGCTGGACAGAAACTTCGATTTATACTAGACTTTACATGCTGAAGTTATTACAGACAGCACTTGGCAACCAAGTATTCATCCTATGTGGTTCTGGGAGACAGCTCATACTCAAACCAGAACAGACATAATTTCAGCTGTGTGATCCAGAGGTGAAATCTAAATAAACCACCAAGTTAATTGACTTTAAATGGTTACATTTGTTGACCTTAAAATTTTTGCCATTCCACCTGGAAGATCTTTTCTATTTTCCCTTATCAGGAAGGAATATTTGATATCATATATATATTCCCCCTAGACTCCTCTTCTTTACCAATTGTGACTTGGTTATTATTGACTTAACTGCTAATATCCACTTATAAATGAATACATGTTTGTCTTTCTGTGCCTGAGTTATGTTACTCACGTTGTTTTTTTTTTCTGAGTTCTATCCATTTGCCTGCAAATATCAAGACATCATTTTAAAAAAAAAAAAAAAAAAGAACGGAGAAGTACTTCATTGTGTAAATATATCTCATGTTTAATCCATTTTTATCTTGAAGGTTAATCAAGGCTGTTGTCAATTTCTTTATATTATGAATAAGCCCACAGTGAACATGGTTACACAAGTGTCTCTGTGAAAGGATAAACCATCCTTTGGGTATATGCAGAAAAGTGATATAGCTCGGACTTGAGGTAGTTTGGTACCCAATTTCCAAAAAACTATCATATAGATTTCTGTAGTCATTAAAGAAGTATTTTGCTCTCACCATCAGTGAAGGACTGTTTAACTTGTTCTACATCCTCACCAACATGTGTTGTCAATTGTTTTATTGATCTTAGTCATTCTAACAAGTGTAAGATGGAATCTCAAAGAGTTTGATTTGCAGCCAGGTGGTGTTGGTACACACCCTTATTCCCAGTACTTGGGAGGCAGAGGTGGGCCCATCTCTGTGAGTTTGAGGCCATCCTGGTCTAAGAGAGCTATAGTACATCCAGGATGTTACACAGAAAAACCCAGTCTCAAGAAAGCAAAAAAGAGTTTTGATTTGCATTTGTCTGATGGCTAAGGATGCTGAACATTTCTTTACATATTTTCAAGCCATTTGAGATTCTCTATTGAGAATTCTTTATTTAGAAATGTGTCCCATTTTAAAATTAGATTATTTGGTTTTTGATATCTAGTATTTGAGTTCCTTTTGTATTTTGGATATTAATCCATCAGATACAGAGTTAGTAAAAATCTTTTCACATTCTGTAGGCTGCTGTTTTGTCCTTTTGATAATGTCCTTTCACTTACAGAAGCTTTTCAGTTTTATGAGGTCCCATTTATTAATCATCGATCACAATGCATGAATTATCAGTATTTTTTTTCAGAAAGCCATTTCCTGTGCCAAAATACTCAAGGTTATTACCCACTTTCACTTTTATCATATTCAATGTATCTGGTTTATGATGAGGTCTTTGATCCTCTTGGATTTGAGTTTGATGCAGGGTGATATGTGTGGATCTACTTGCATTCTTCTACAAGCACACATATAGTTTCAGCAGCACCATTTTTGAAGATGTTCTTTTCCAGTATATATTTATGGTGTCTTCATCAGAATCAGGAGTCCATGGGTATATGGACTCAAATGACTCTATAATTTGTTTTCCATGCCAATATTATGTGGTTTTTACTGCTATAGTTCTGTAGTATAGCTTGAAATCAGGGAAGGTGAAACTCTCAGCAAATATTTTATTACTCAGGATTGTTTTAGTTATCCTATGTTTCTTGTTTTTTCAATATCTATAAAAAATTCTTTTGGTATTTTAATAAGGATTGCTTTAAATCCATGGATTGCTTTTAGTAGGACGGTAATTTTTTACTATGTTAATCCTACCGATCCATGAGCATGAGATACTATTCTATTTTTTGTTATCTTCTTCAAAAACTTGAAGTTTATATCATGTAAGTCTTCCTCTTTCTTGGTTAGCATTACCCTAATATATTTTTATTATTTGAGGCTACCATGAAAGATACTGTTTCTCTGATTTCATTCTCAGTCCGTTTGTCATTTGTATATTGGAGGGCTACTATTTTTGTTTGTTTGTTTGAGCAAGAAGAAATCCATGCTCAATACTGTTTATATATCTAAGAACAGATGTTTGTGTAGTCAAGAACCAGAGACTAAATAGCCCAGAGATCTAGGGTAAACCCAAACATAACTGATCTCAAATAAAACAATGAAATAATTCCCAGTGATACTCTGGTATACTCATAGATCTGTGCCTTATCTAGTCATTATTAGAGAGGCTTCCTCTGGCAGCAGATGGGAAGAGATGTGGAGGAGACCTACACTCAGACATTATACTGAGAAAGAGTCTAAATGAGAAGCCTCTATTAAATGTCTCCAACCAGAGCTTAGGGAATCCTGCAAAAGAGGAGGTGGAACAATGTTAAGAGTCAGAGGGCATGGAGGACACCAGAAAAACACAGTTTTATGAATCAACTAAGCCAGGACCCATTCCAGTGTCTACATAAGTCTGCAATAGCCCCTGAAAGACCTGGATAAATCCAGACACCCTAGTAGGAAAAAATAGACCCAAAAATCTAAGCAGAGAGAGAAGAATCAGAAATCTAGGATTAGCTGGTTCAGTGACTCTGTTTCAGGAACTAGCTGAAGATAAAGTTAGATTGAAATCTTGAGATACAGGGAGTCTCCTTTTGGAATATTCTGTTTCAGGAACTAGCTGATTATAATCTTGAGAAACAGGGAGTTGCCCCCTTGTGAGCATCACTGGTATTTTTGGAAGTTTTTATGATGCCCTCCCTTCCCCCTTTGGATTACTGGGCTGTGGTTTCTTCTTTTAAATACCCCTTCTCCCAGTTACTTGGGGTTGAACTCCTCCCCTGCATGGGTTATGAGTCTTGGCTCCAGTGTATTGGTTCCTGTCTTGTCGAATAAACCTCTTGTGATTGCAACAAGGACGGTCTGTCGTGAGTTACTGCGGGGTGGGGGGTGGGGTTGTGTTATCCTGAGAATTGAGTGAGAGTCTCCCCTCACTGGAGGGTCTTCACCCCTATACATACTTTCTGAAGTCCCATACATACGAAGTGAAGTATCACTCATGGTTCCATAAGAATTTAAGGATGACTTTATATTTTATAAGAAAAATGCCTTCAGAGTTTTGATAAATGATACTTAAAATGCTTTTATTTTTGGAGAAATTTTATAAAACCTTTGGTTGTTTAAGAGACCAGAGTATCTGTCCATTTACTAATGTCTTCTTGATCTATTTACACCAATGATTTACCATTTCCTATATAAAATTATTCTTGTACTGCATTGATAAAGAAATAGAAAAGCAGGAATAAATTCATTTATGTTTGATATGGACATAGTTATGTTAGGGCTATTTGTGTGTGTGTCCACGTGTACATATGCCAGAAGTCAACGTTGAGTTTCTTTCTCAATCACTATCTAGCTTGTTATTTAAGCAGAGCCTCTCATTAAATATGAGCACATTGATTGGTTATATTGGCTGCTAAAATATCTTGGGACTGTTCCTCTCTGTGTCTCCCATGCTGGGACAACAAGCTTGCAGTAATGTGTATGGCCTTTCTGCTGTGTGCTCAGGATAGGGGATTGGGACCTCATGCTTGTGCTATAGGTGTTTTCCTGATTAAGTCATCTGCCCAGACCCAAATGTAATTATTTTCAAACATACTTTATATCTGAGGGAGCTAGAATCCATAACCATGAAACCCGTGGCTAGAGATCTGGTTGTGAATATGCTAGAGAAATTTGCACATCTCCTATTTTTATGTAAATATTCTTCATGCTATTTTTTATTTTCATTATGTTGTTTTTGTATTTTATTTCTACAAAGACTTTTCCTTAGTTAAATTGCTTTTTTGTGTGTAACAAAAACATGAGCCACATGTATGTTATAAGTAGTAAGCATCACACAAACAACACAGTTAGAATCCCTATTTTTGTTTCTAGTAGTCACTGTGTATCTTTCTACTTCACATTCTCATTTGAAAGATGTGTAACTGTGATATATTTGGCAAGAGGAATATCATTTAGAATGGAAAATAAACTTTAAGAAAAAACCAATATATTTTATTTTTCTCAAATTTCTTAGAAATAATTGGAAATGAACCACCCTGAAATGTAGAAAACACATACGATTCAGCTAGGTTATTTTAATTCCTGAATATTTCAGGATTGCTTTATCTTCAAACAATAAAAAAACATTGATAAAGATAAAGAAGACTGGATAAAGTAAGATGAAATAACTGAACTATGTATGTGAATTACTTGGACTCTAAGTCATGAAAGTCAGTCCAGATCTTATAGAACATAAAAAAAAAATGCTGGTTTCTTTAATTCTGTGTACAGGTTCTGTAGGAAGGCAATGAAGGTGCTATTTGGAAGAGGGAATAAAGGAGGAAGGGGCAGAGAAGCAGCATTCATCACACTACTTCCTGAATGGGAAGGAAGCTGGAGTCAAGAGAAACCCTTTTGTCTCCAGGTGCTTTTGTCAGGGGTGCTATCACAGCGTGAGAAAATAAGTAATACTTCTGGGAATGGTTCAGTAACAACTGCAGAGGATCTTTTCTGCTTAATGTAATGTGGACAGTTTATGCCCATGGCCATATCTATTAGCATATAACATTTTCATTTGCCCTGCTAAACATTTAATACTAAGTCACTTTCCTTGAGCAATCTTTGCTTCAAAATCAAGAATGAGGTAGCTGGTTATTTTCCCTTGCTGGCATAGTGAGCAGTGAAGCTGAGGGTGAGTCCTTCTGTGATCAGGTTTCACAACGACTTAGCACTTTGTGAAAGGAAGGGGTAGGAACCTATTTGCTTGACCTTTGTGATGTCTGATAGCAGGGACAATTGCATGGTGGGAGAACTTTGCTTTAGCCTTGAGTGATGACTTGCTCAGATTGCTTTGTAAACATGTAATGTTTGGGGTCATGCTAGTTTGTTACTAAAGTTCGTGTTAGGAATATTTCCTAACATGAGCTCCCTGCCAACACAAAAATTCCCAACCAAGCCAAATCAAAACAAGCCAAATTAAGAAATATCCAGGTTTAATAGGAGATTTGGCTCCTTAGGGGGCAGGAATGGACCCCTGGGAGGAAAAAAGGGAGACCACGTGCTCTTCTTTTGGGAGATCACTTAAATACCCTGGGGAGTGGTCCTGATCCCATCCCCAGGACGAGGTCAGGACCTGGCATGCTGAGATTTGGAGTCCAGACCAAGCCTGGGTCTGGGATACATGCAAGGGGCTGGAGCCTACACTCCCAACTTGACAGTCCTTAGTTAAAATAAATATGTTTGTTGCTTTAACACTCCTTTCTCTACTCCATCTGGAAACCTGAGCCTGGCCTATTATTGATAGGAAGTTTCTTTCTAAGTTAAAAATGTAGCCTTAAGAGAAAACTAAGGAAATGGATATTTTCAAAGATAGTGTTGCCTTTGCATATTTAGACTGAAAGACCCCCATACTTGAAAGAACCCCATACCCATGTACTATGTTAAACTTTGCTGAAATTTAGCTGGGCCCCTCAGCTCAGCCGATGCTAAAACTAGATATCTATAGTCAGACTCACTGACTAGGCTAAGAAGAGGGAATCCTCCAGCCCCTAAGGCAGTTTATCTAAATTGTCAAACTTGCTGCAGAGTGCACTATCTAGCTTTGTGTTTTTTGGGACTACTCCACCCCCTCCAAGACATCCTATCTAAATTGTCAACCTGCTAGAGGGTGTTTTATCTAGCTTTATGCTTTTTCGGGGAAATTCGGGAATAGACACAGGGCCGTCACCAGGGTGAGCTAAGCCCGCTAATTTGAGAACCAATGAAATGCTGTTGCTAGACAAGCAAGCCTCTTATGTAACTCCTAAATCCTTATAAATACATGATGTGCCATCAGCCTGGCATGCTCAGTAACTTAATTGTAACTTAGTTGCTGCAGCATCCATAGGCTCCTGGTGTAATCAATCAATAAGACACCTCTTGCTGATTGCATCTGTTGGCCTAAATTATTGACTGGGGGATTTCTCCCACCACTCTTGAAAATAAGGGTTTTTCAAGACCAAGCTATAAGAAAGGATGTTATTTAAGGGGATAGTTCCCCCAGATACTTCATGAACACTTGATATGGAATATAGGGGTAAGAGAACTGAATATTGAGCACAAGGTCAGAATGGATCCTACCAGTCTTCCCTCACTCCCCTTTCTTCACAAATTAGGATGCACTCTGTGAAGTCCAGGTCCATTGACTGTCCAATGTTTCCACGACCCTTTGAAAGATAAAATGTAAGCTTCTTGGCATGTGTTAAATCTGCTTCATGGTAGGCCTGGCTCACATTAGGCTCCTTTCTCAACTCCTTTCCCCATAAATGCTGAGCTTCAGATCCCTTCCAAGAACAGAAGTCTCTGTCTTGAGTGTGTGAGCTAGACTATGGTGCCTTCCTACATGAAGGCTGCACATTTGACTTCTCATTCCCTCCACCATATTTGTTCCCTCTCTCAATCCCTCCCTTCTTTCTGAGATTACAGGAGTGATCCATCATGCTCAGCAAAGTCCCTCATTTCCTCCTACTTTTTTTTATTTGCATTTTTGGCTAAATCCTTCTTGTGTTAATTACTATTTTTGGATTCTGTCTTGATTCTAGGAAATTTTTCTAAACCCCTAAAACAGTTCATTTACACCCTCCAAGATCTTACAGAGTTAACTAATAGATAATTCCCTCCTTTTGGTGACTATTGATCTACTGATTACCTTGAGTACTTGCAAACAAAGAAAAGGTTCTGCAGGTAAATTTAATGCAATGCACTTTCTTTCTTAATCTTTCCTCAGTTTACAGTATCCTAGTACTAGGGTCTGAAAGTATGATCTGACCACTTTCAGAAATGTATGCATTGACAGTGATTGCTAAACTGAGACTTAAGATGTGAAAGCAGTAACCTACTATGTACATTTAAACTGTAAGGTGTGGGGATCCTACAGGGATCCATGACCTGATGTGGCCAGGCCCATCTGGCCTTGGTGCTGCTCTCTCTACAGGCTGAAAATTACAGTGTGATTTTGTAACTTTCTTAGTTATTGACATCACCAGGTTTGCAGCAACCACATGGTGCCAAGATGGAGGTGATCACATGAGCCAAGATGTCAGCACCGACATTATTGCCTAAGATTCCTGAAAACACCAAGCCCTCAAGACATCAAAGCACCTCCTTTGCATCCCTGGTAATTCCTATGTCATTGGTATTTAATCCCGCTTCCCAATCTTCTCCCAATTTCTTTCCTCCTTTCACCTTCCTAAATGCTTCTGCACAGAAGTGGCTCCAATGCTCCAGGTGCTGGCACTGTCTTGGACAACACTCACTGCTGTACAGTAGGATGCCTGACTCCAAAGGCCTGAAAGAGTTGTTGTTTACTAGGTGGCAATGCCACATAAGACTGTTGAGACTTTAAATCATGGTTTACTCTCTTTAGTAACTATGTTTAAGCACACTGATGTTTGTATATTCCTGATTATTGTGCTATTGTCTCCTTTGCCTTAGAAGATCTAGAGATTCAGACTTAGGCCATGCCAAATATACCATCTCATATGTAAATTTATGTGCAATGGTATTCTGTATGTGTTGCTTTTAATGGCACATGAATAAAGCTCTTTGGACCAATGGTTAAGCAGAGTAAAGCAAGGTAGGAAATTGTACAGAGATGTAGATAGAGAGTAGGCAGAGTCAAGAGGACACCATGTAGTTGCAGAAGGAGAAAGACGGTGCTGCTAGAAACTTCCGATAAGCCATAGCCTTGTGGTGATAGATTAATGGAAATGGGTTAACTTAAGATGTAAGAGTTAGTTAATAAGAATCCTGAGGTAAAAGGCCAAAAATATTTATAATTAATATAGTTTTTGGGTGCTTAGTTGGATCTGGATAGCCAGGAACTAAAGAGAAATCTCCATTTACAAAATGGCACCCAACATGGAACATGGATCCACATAAGTCCTAAAAAAGCTTAAGAATAAAAAGTGGGGGCTTCTAGAACGACAAAAGCAGGAGCCACATGCAGCTTCTTGGTAGTGACATTTTTTCAGATGGGCTCTGTTTGTTGGTGGTGAGCAGACACATGACTCCATTAAGGTAAGTTTTTCTGACTCATCATTAGCAGCAAAACCTGTGCAACTTCTTTGAGAGACAGCTTCCTGGATCATGCTGGCAGCAGTAACTCTGGCTCTTTTGTGAGGTCCTGCCCTTAAACAGGATTTGAGGGTAGTGTGCTTCTAGTTACTTACTGGTGACATAGAGCCCCTGTGTCCCTGGAGCTGAGGAAGTAAAATTGGCTCACAGTACTCGTGGTAAATGCATGTAGTTTCATTGTTTTTAAACTTTCTGTAAATGGCACATAACTATAAATAGTTAAATTCTATAAATTTTACTATTTAAAAGTTTAACAAATCATAAAGAAGGAGAAAGACTACCTTCCCACCTTTAAATATCAGTTCAGTCTCAGCACTGTTCAGTGGGGCTCAGCACCAAGGCTGAGTCCACATGCACTGTCTTATTCACTCAAATGACTGAACTAATGTGATTTAAGCTATGAGTACAAAAGTGAAGGAGGAGAATTACTTCTAGCAAAATGATGACCATGTTGTAGGGTAATCTATGCATAACATAAATCTCAGCGAGACTGATCTTTTTGCTTTCTGTCTTTACTATTAGGAAACCAATTGGAAAGTATAGATAAAATATTGAATATTGTGTTAGACAGGTAATTTCAAAGCCTATACCAGCCAAGTTCCGGGAGACAACCTTGGCCTACAAGGTATAGCAAAACCTCTTTATGCTCAAATAATTATTTTATAAAAGTTTTAATCCACAGTTTATTGTAGAGACCTTACTATCCACTGAGTGGTTCAACTGCATTAGATGCCTGGGATACATGGTATATAAGTATAAGGATTTTAAAGTTAGACAATGCGCAAAGAAGGCATCATAGTCTATTTATGTTACTTTAACAACAGACCCGAGACTGGATGTCTTTTAGAGAAGAGTCCTGGAGTTTAAAAGTCAATTATCAGAAGTCTAGCATGATCAGAAATCTAGCTGTGTGGTATCAGGATCCTGACTTCTTTTGGATCTACACATTGAAGACATTTGCCAGAAAAGCTAGTGAAATAGTTAGGTGTTAGGGTATTGCCCATCATGTCTGAGGCTCTGGATCTAGTCCATAGTACCAGATGGAAAAGTCAAAGCAATGAGGCCGGGACTAGAAAACAGAAAATCACCAAGAGGCCTTTCTGGGCTCTTTCTTATAAAGTCATATTTCTGGGTTCTTTCTTATGAAGTCATTAATCTCACTGATAAGGTCTTCCCCTTCATGACCCATTTTTATCCCATAGATCCCACTTCTCACACGAGCACATTGAAGGTGATGACTTTAGCACTTGCACTTTGAGAGGAAGCAAACATTTGGCCCACTGCAGAAGAGTTCATTACATTATTCAGTTATACTTTATTACCTAATCTTATTTTAATTTCTATTATTCTTATTAGTAGAAGGTTCAACTACCCATGTAAGGAAGAGCTTTGCTCTCATAAGGAACTGCTTGTTCAATGGAACTGTGTGCTGATGGAACTGTGTGTCTGTCGAGTTGGTTTCAGTGATGGCAGAAGTCATGGTCTGTACATTTCTTGGTAGAAGTACATGTTTATCAAGAGTTAGAAGTCATTGCTTAAATATAACCCTGTATTTCTTTGTATGCATGTGTATATAAGCATGAAATTTAGCTTATCACTGAGAAGGAAGTGATTAAATACTGTTTGCAAGGACCTGATGTTAAAAAAGTACCAGCTTGCACTGGGTGGTGGTGACGCACACATATAATTGCAGCACTTGGGAGGTAGAGGCAGGTGGATCTCTGAGTTTGAGGCCAGCCTGGTCTACAAGAGTTATTTCCAGAACAGGCTCCAAAACTACAGAGAAACCCTGTCTTAAAATGCCATAAAAGAGTATGTAAATAAAAAAAAATAAAAAAGGTACTAGTTCTGTCATTAAATGAAAGCTTTGGGTCTAGTCATGAGGAAGGCCTACCCAGTTCCTATCATTTTACTAAAACCTTATTTTTCCTCTTTAAGGGAAAAAAATGAATGAAAAAGTCTTTGACTTTTGTAATCATCCCTAGAAATAAACTTTTGTATAAAGTAAATTCTGGGCTTGGCAACAAAACATTGGAATTTCCTACCATAGCCCAGTACTGAGCAGAAAAAAAACATCCTGGCAAAGGAAACCAAAGTTTTGGAAGGCACACATAATGGTTAGTAAGTACTTGTTGAAAATTAATGAGCTGTCTTTGTAGCTGCCTCCAGTTTTTTTTTTTTTTTAACTACATGCTGTGATTCTCGGTTTAAGGAGTACATTACTATATATCTAGTGAAAGACAGTGAATGATGTACCTACTCAGAGAGTAAGTCGGAATACCAAGAATGTTTTACAACCTGTGGTTTTACCTCCTTGATATCAAATAAACAAGTTTTGGATCCACAGCCAACTGTGACCATTGCAAAATGCAGCTCTTTGGGCATTGTTCAGAGCCCTAGTCTGCATGTTATGTAATAGCTGTTGTGCAATTGTGCATTTAACTCAAAGTAAAAAAACACATTTCCAAAGTGTTAAGGGAGCAAGAGATTAGAGGAGCAGAAGTTTCTATCTTAATTAAAATGAGAGGTGCAGGGTATTCAAGGACATCCAAAATGTACTGTCTGAGAATCTAGAAGATTGTTCTGTTCTCCAGACCTGACTTGTCTCCTATTTTTGCCAAATACAACTATTTTAAAAACATAATCACTCTGACTACAGGGCAAGTCAAGTTAGACCCCCCCCCGCTCATCTTTTGCTTAGAGGGGTCATCCTTGTGTATTCTTGGAAATTTCTCTAGAGCCTGGTTTATGCTAACCCTATAATGGCTCCCTCAATCAAGATATCTTTCCTTGCTCTCATCTCTGCCTTTTGTCCATCTTGACTACCTCATTCCTTCAAGTTTTGTTGAAATACGAAGCGGCGGGGCTGTGTCCCCAACACCCCAGCCGCTTGGCTAGCTCATGCCCGAAATAACAACACACAAACTGTATTCATTTAAGAACTGCTTGGCCCCTGAACTCTGGCCCTTACAGGCTAATTCTCGCACCTGGACTAGCCCATTTCCAATGATGTGTGTAAGCACCCCAAGGTGCGCTTACCGGGAAGAGTCTAGCCTCCGTCCATCATGGTGTCTCTGCTCCAGAGTGCAGAGATGTCGAGTCTCTCCGGGAGCAGAACAGAGTCTGACCTCACTTCCTCTTCC